AAAGTGGTGGAAAGGGCCACTACCAGGCACCTGATTCAGATGGGATTTTGGGAGTTGGGTGGGGGAGGGGGGACAGTTTTACCGTATAAAAAAAAGTCAACATCTCTTCTAGCAATATTAATATATGCCTATTGCTCAGTGTTTATCAAAAGCAAAAAGTGCAAAAAAGCTCTAAGGTACATCAGGGCTTTAAGCGCAAAGCCCAAATAAAGCGTGTGTTTTTAATGAAGTAAGGCGCAAATGCAGAAAAATACAAATATGCATATGTAGTCCAAGACTAATAATTATAAGCATGAATAACAAATATATAGATAAATAAATTAATTTTTTTTTACAATAAAGTGAAATATCAATTATTTATGTTTGCCTCTTCAGGATTACGGAACATAAAAAAAAAAACATGCCTTAGAGCCTTGATGGCAAGGCTAAAACGCTCACTAAGCAATGCGAAGCGCTCAACATGTTTTGAGCCTCGCTTTAGGGCTTAAGCGCGTTTGACAATAGTGCTATTGCTCATGTTAGTGTTGTTCTATTTACTATATTTGCAGATTCTTAATTTTAACTGAATACCATAAAGCGAAATTCTGAGGTCAATTCAGATAATTTTTCTATCTAAAGGTAAACTGGTTGGATCGCCTTTCACAACGACAAAGATGGAGGAATTTTAGCCTTGTAAGATTCCTTGTAAGAAGAGCAAGGATTGTAATAATTAGCCTTTAGTTGTACACACCCTTTTGGCTTCCTGCATAATCTTTGTGCTGAAGATTGTTTTAATATACTGGAAATGTTACTTTGTCACTGGAAAGATAGAGGATTGTCATTCCGCTTGCTGTGGACCCTGGCTGCCAGGCTAAATGATAACTTCTCTGGATATTTATCATACGTTACAAATCTTTACTGGATAAGTCAAAAGTTTTTAAGAATCTTGATCACTATTCATCTCAGAGGCTCGTTATGTAAGATGGAATCTCGTCTAGACAAAGTAGGATCACTTGATTTCATAAATGTATTTCTTGTTCAACACGATCAGAATATAAAATAACTCGATAAAGATAACTACTACCTTTTTTAATGAAGTGAATTATATTCATAGTGAGAATGCTCCTGTATACAAGAGGTTTACCAAAAGTAGAGAATCTATAGCAAGGTAAGATTCTGTTCGAAAGACATCCAATCTTATATACAAATAGGAACCTCATGGATGCACCAAAAATACAATGAAAACAAGAGGCTATTCCTTAGATGTGCAAATTAAGCTCATTCCCTTCAGAAACTCTCCAAATCCTCTCTCGCCATGCTACCCACATAAGTGTTACTGGAGTAACATACCCACAATCGACGTGTTCACCTCATCCTCTAAGGTCCAACCAAATAGTGCATCATTCACCATACTTGTCATTGTCTATTGTATTCAAACCATCATAAAAGCTCCTATGATAGGGGCGATGTTACCTGGAAATGCAGTAAGAGATGATCCCCGTACTTTCGCGAGTGTCATCTCATGAAGCACCAACTAACATATATGATTCTCCTCTTTCTCAAGTTCTCTGCTTTTAGAGTTGCAACCTTAGCCTCCAACCCAGAAAATAGGCACACCTTTGTTGCCTCTCTAGGTATCAATACCGACAAACAAGGAAAAATCAACTTCTCTCTAGCTAGCAACTTTCATCCGTAACTCTTTGCTGTAACTCCCATCTGCAGGAATCTCGGCTCTCTACTAGTAATCTCTGAACTTGTTGGACGATAATATCCTCTAGGCACGAAATTCTATAGGTGTTCGGAAAAGTGACCTTCAACACTTTGTCGCCACACGATCTCTCCTCCCATGAAACTAACCTTTCCCCCGTGCCCCATCCTAAACGAGATACTTCTACTAAACTCTTCTCGTCACTTCGTAATATTCTTCGGTTGCTGCATCCAATAGGAGCAATGATTTTCTTGGTTCTCCATCCCCTTCTATGGTGCCATATTTCTCCGTTGCATGCTCCTCTGTTCAAATCTCCAAAGCTACTTTCCTAAGAAGGCCTTGTTAAAGATGCTTAGATTTTAACGTTAACTACCCCACACTAACCTGGTAAAGACAAAAAATACATAACTCAACGGTGTAGATTTCCTATAAAATCTAGTAATTCTCCATGCAAGCGTGGTGTATGCTTGTGATGCTGATCGCACTAGGATAGCTGGATAGTTGTGGTAAGTTGAAGGTTAGCATGAAACCTATTTAATCTTGATGAATTCTCTAAATCTTGAGTAAGAGGACCTGGATAAAGCAGAGTAATTCCTAGGATTTATATGGCCAATCGCAACTATTTGGGGATTGAGCAGTAGTTGATTGATTGTTGCTTTTTAGCTTCATTTCTTTTTGTTGAACTGTGTCGCCATCTCATCTAAAAGCTTAGCTGTTGCATCAAGCATACTTTTATTTACTTAATTGTATCTTAAATATGCCCCTTCATGTGCGAGCTTGATTCTTTTTGATGAGTCAAGCGCATTAAAATTCTTTTTGATAATGGGTGGTAGTAAGTCTCTAGAACCTCTGCTTACTCTGATACCATGTCACGAAATGGAACTTGAGCCTAACTCAACCTCAAAAGTTAGCCTATGAGGTGAGGATTGCCCAAAGACCATATTCGGAGGCAACAACCTATCTCTCAACTAATATGGGACATTTAACACTGCGGCATGGTTAGGCCTTCCAATTGGAGCATAGACAACATAACATGGAGGCCCAACATGTGACACGCAATAACATGGATGGGTTTGCTCTGAACTTGTTGAAGTTTGTGACCATCTCATCTAAAAGCTTAAGCCGTTAGAGAGAGCATACTTTTATTTACTCTATTATGTTTTCAACACTCTTTCCACCTTTTCTTGAGCCGAGGGTCTATCGGAAACATCCTCTCTCTACCTCTCCAGGTAGGGGTAAGGTCTGCGTACTCACTACCCTCTCCAGACCCCACCTATGGGATTATACTGGGTATGTTGTTGTTGTATGTTTTCAACACTCTTTGTAAATAGAATTTCTTATTTATCAAAAAAGAAAAAAGAAATAATAGAAGTTCCTTTTTGTTCTCTTTGTTTCTTGTAATAAATATACGACCGACATGAAAGTAGGTTAACCATGGTGAATTCTCTGAAACCTGAGCCGATAGTTGGACCAGGATAAAGCGGAGGAATACCTAGGATTAATATAGCCAACTTTAACTATTTTGGGATCGAGCTGTAGTTTATTGATTGTTGGTTTTTAGCAGCGGTCATCATGTTTTCTTGTTCGTTTTCTTTGTAAAGTTCTTTATCAAAAAAGAAAAGGAAATAAATAGAAATTTCTTTTTCTACTCTGTTTTCGGTAATGGGAAGCCTCGATGATAAACATCCATCATATTGGAAGCCTTGATGATGAACATCCATCATTTTGTAAGGCTGCGGTTGGTCTAAAGGATCGGCCCCAGACGGATTTCTCGGTCATTAAAAAAAACATCCATCGTTTTGTAAAATAAACAATATAGAGTTTGTTTGAAAATTGAACTTTTTGGTGTTTTTGGTTACTTAGCGGTAGTGGCTCTTCTATATATGTATATGCATTGATAGGTTTGGTTATATGTGCGCGCACAGACACAGATAATTATATAAATGTATGTGTGTGTTTGTTGGTGGGATGTGTGGGCTAGGACTCTGGATATGTGTCTAATGCTTAACTCCTCTCTTTGATTCTGTCGACTAATACTGAATATAGATATGGAACCATCCTGGGATTTTGCAACTGATGCGAGAAACCAGAGCCTGTAGTAAGCCTGAGGATGCTGTTGAGAATTTTCTTGCTGATGATTGCTCAAGTGATGAGAACACAGATTATAATACTGTTCCTGGAGGTACCTTTTGTTTTCCCTCATTCTGGATAGAATGTAACAACTGTCGATGTTTTATCTTTCGGTAGTTACAAAATAAAAGGATCTCTTTTATGTGGAGCCACTAGTATTTTGATATGCAGCTGTCTAGGCATCCAGAGGAATCTTTGAATTGAGCTATCTTGCAGTTGGATGTGTTTCTGATAAAAGTAAATTGCATATTAATATATACTGTGATAGTGTTGATTCAGTAGATCAATTGGCTATTCTGCATTATATGTTGAATTTGCATACAGTGTCTGCAATTGACTAAAAGTTACGGAAATATTTCACCTGCTCCTGTTCTGATACTGGGAGGAATATCTGGCTTCTATATTTGTTTCTGTGGCCTGCTTTCAATGTGTTCAGGATAATAGATGACATCCGGTCGTATTAAGCACTTTCATTAATATTTTATCAAAATGAAAATTAGCCTCTCTTTCATTATGGATATCTGTCTGTCAATTCTTGCAGAGAAGTTGAATAGCAACAATGAAGCTCTCAGAAAAAATCATAATGGCTTCCTTCATGGGGTAATTTCCTGCTTCATATTTGCTAACTTCTGTAATTTTGTTAGTATGGTTAATTGATGGATGTGCAGGAAACTCTTGCCATCTGTCTGTAATTTACGTTTTGTTTTATACCTACAATTCAAGGTATATGTGGTGGTGGTTCCATTTGTTTCTACAGTTTTATTAGTTTTTTTAAATGTCATCATTAATATCTTAGTTCACTCTTTCATTTTACAGGATTGGTGGAGCGATCTTCTAGAAAATAATTGCAAAGAAGTTGATTATAGCGGCAAAATGGTTCTGCTACTCGACATCCTGACAATGAGCTCCAATGTTGGTGACAAAGCACTTGTGTTTAGTCAGAGCTTGTTAACTTTGGATCTCATTGAACTATATCTTTCAAAACTATCGCGCCCAGGGAAAAAGGGGAAGTACTGGAAGCGACGGAAAGACTGGTACAGGTGTGTATACCTTGTTTACCTCTTGATGAAAATTACCTCATTAGTTTTCTTTTTTTGGTAAGTAAAGATTTTATTTACTCGGATAGCAATATGTACAAGCTCACAAAAAAAGAAAACAAACTGAGACTGGGCATAGCCCCAATCTCCACTTCCTTATCTACTCAACCCCGTCTTACTAGCATTGACTAAGGATAGAAGTTAAGAGCTTCAATCTTCCTAGCTAACTTACTTTTCATGGATCCTCTACACACTACTTCCTAATGATCTGCCTTGTAAGTACCTCAGTTGGCCTATTCTTCCCTTGGAATAGTCTCATGTTCCTCTCTTGCCACAAGTGATATGTGTAACCAGCTAGAGCCAGTCTATATATCTCAGTACTTGCAGCATTTCCTTTCACATTCACTTGGGTCCACTGAATCTCGTTCTGCCAGTTCATGGCCTGTCTGACTATGCTTTGCCATTCCAATAATTTACACCATAGTCTAGCAGTAAAACTTCACAACTAAAGAACAGGTGATTTATAGATTCTTCAACATCACACATAGGGCATGTTCTTTCATCTGTGATCCCCCAGGTAGCCAATCTGTCCTTAGTAAGTAATCTGTTTTGGATTGCCAGGGTCAGTGCAAATCTCCACTTTGGTAGGCCAAGGTTGTTGCAAGTGAGCTACTTCCAAGTTACTTTCTGAAAATAAGCTCTCATTATCTGATATAACTTCTTAATGGAAAGGACTCCCAGCTTTGTAGAGTAGGCATTGATATATCTGCTCTTCAATGTAGCTTGTTGCCTTTATAATTTTCTGGATTACCCAGGATGCTTGTTTTGGATTAGTTTCCCACACTGGCTGCTTCCTCCCATAATGCTCATGTAACCACTGGACCCGCTGTCTTTCTGCAGAGGTTCCACAATAGCTTACAAATAGCTGCCCTATTCCATGTATACAAGTCTAGCACATTAAAACCACCATATGTCCTTTGACAGCAGACTTTCTCCCATGCCAACAAAGCCTTCTTTGGACTATCAATCCCTCCTGTCCATAGATAAGTTCTGCATATAGTCTCTATCCTTTTTATTATCTTCTTAGGCAATGCAAATATCCAAGAGCAATATATCTGGATAGCAAGCAGCACAGTTTTGATCAATTGCAAACTGCCTGTATATGAAATATATCTTGAAGTCCAAGAATTGGTTCTACCCAACATCTTCTCCAATAGTGGTTGGCATTGCATAATAGAAATCCTCTTGGTACTCAGTGGCACTCCCAGGTACCTGAAAGGGGGTTGACCTCTAGAAAAGCCCAAGAAATTCAGTATCTCCTGTTGTACCCCGTGACTCACTCCACTAAAGTAGATAGAGCTCTTGTTTACATTTGCTGCCAAACCTGAAACCCCTGAGAAACCTGTGCAGCAATCATACAGCATTTGGACAGAAGTTGTATTTCCTCTTTAGTACTTGATTTTACTGATTCTCTTTGCCATTTGTTGAACGGTGTGACCATCTTATCAAAAAGTTTAAGCTGTTAGACATAGCATACTTTTATTTACTTAATTATATCTTCAACACGCCTTCTCATGTGCGGGCCTGATCTTTTTGATGGGCCAAGCAAGTGAAATTTGTTTTGGTGAAGGGTAGCGGTGAGATTTGAATCTTGGACCTCTGCTTGCTCTAGTACCATGTTGGAGTATGTGATCATCTCATCTAAAAGTTTAAGCTATTAAAGAGAGCACACTTTTATATACTTAATTATGTTCTCAACACGCCCCTTCACGTATGGCTTGATTTTTTTCATGGGCCTAGCATGTGAAAATTCTCTGTGAAAATGGGTGGGGCATAACTCGAACAGATGACCTTTTCCTGTTTTGATACCATGTTAAGAAAATGGTTCTTGAGCGTCGCTCAACTTCAAAAGTCATCTTATGAGGTGCGGATTACCCAAGACCATATAAGGAGAAAACAGTCTACTCCCTCTACGAATCTGGAAAAATCTAACACCATACTGTATGCTCAAGCATGTCAACTAGAGCATGGATAATATAACATGGGGCCGAACATGGGAAAATACAATAACAGGGATGGTTATCCATTGATACCATGTAAAGAAAATGGACCTTTGTCCTAACTCAACCTCGAAAGTTAGTTCATGAGGTGAGGATTGACCAAGATCAAGAAAAGGACTTCTGCATACTCTAATACCATGCTAAAGTGTAACCATCTCATTTAAAAGCTTAACCTAGTAAAGAGAGCATAATTTCATTTGCTTAATAATATCGTCTAATAGCGTTGATGTGGAACCCATCTTTTACTGTTGCATTTCTTGCGAATTCGTTACAATATCATTTGAGAAATACAATCCTTGAGAATTTGATTGTCCGAGTTTGTCTTCAAGGAAAATTTCGCCTATTCTTTGGAGAGATAATATTACTGACCATCTAATCAAAGCAAAGAGGAACCTTTCCTCAGTTGACATGAGAAAGAAAGGAAACAAGCCCATTGATTCACCTATCGTGTGGCTCGTACCTCTACATCTTTTATCTATAGTCTGGGGACTGCGGCTCATAACTACTAGCTATCCAAGCGAAGGCTCAAAGAAGCAGACAGTCTTCTTGTTAGTCTTAGTAATTAGTTTGGCTTTTCATATTCATTTATATCTCATTATTAGAATGGAGAAAGAGCTTTTGCACTGGAGCTCTTTTTTTTTGGGGAGGGGGGGCGGGGGTTGGTCTCTTCCTTTTGATTATGATAAACAGAATATCAAAGTTAATTTGGTAAACTGGACATCAATTAAATAAGTAGGTTTATTTCAAAGGAAGATAATTAATTTATCCTCAAATTCCATCTGAACTAGAATTGACAACGTTCCCTCTTTTCTTCACGGATGTCTTCTTTGGAAAAAAAGTAACCCATTGGTTTACAAATTTGTAGTTTTAAAACATAAAATTTCGTATTATGCAATATTTTTGTTAACTTCTTAGTCAAAGTTTGTCCGGTTTGACGACCAGGAAGCCAAATATCACTATCTTTTTGGGATAGATGGAGAAGGTTATGATAATGGGATGCTAGTGGTGAATGTTATTTTGCTTAACTTTTTTTTGAGGATGTGGTTTGTCTTCTATTTCTTGCTTTTATGTCACTACAAAAATTTTCACCTCCTTTTGAACAACAGGATTGATGGAAGAACAGAATCATCTGAAAGGCAGAGACTTGTTGATAGTTTTAACGACCCATTAAATAGAAGGGTTAAATGCGTTTTAATATCTACTAGAGCTGGATCTCTGGGTATCAACCTTTATGCTGCTAACCGTGTAATTATAGTTGATGGCTCTTGGAATCCAACTCATGATCTTCAAGCTATATATCGAGCTTGGAGGTATGTCTTTCAAATTTGTGTGTAATAAAACACCCATGTTTCATTGGAATATATATTGAGCCAGAATGCTTGTACATCTTAGGTATGGTCAAACAAAACCTGTTTTTGCTTACCGTTTACTTGCACATGGAACGATGGAGGAAAAGATATACAAGCGTCAGGTAAAAAAGAAGAATCCAAGAAGAGCTCATGTCAGAATAGCTTTTATTTCATGAATTATTTAAGTGGATAATTTAAGCAGGTGACAAAGGAAGGTCTTGCCGCACGGGTGGTCGACAGACAACAAGTATATAGAACTATATCCAAAGAGGAAATGTTGCATCTTTTTGAATTCGGAGATGACGAAAGCTCTGATATACCTCTGGAGTTGAAGCAAGCAAGAGAACATGCTGGTGAAGCAAACACAACTGTAGATGTTGGAAGTGTTTCGAAACAAAAGTTAACCTTTCCAAATGGAAGCTCTACTTCTGACAAGCTAATGCAAAGTTTGATTGACAGCCATCATCCACGGTATGCCGTTCTTTTCTTGCTTTGTCATATTAACAATTTCTTCGGAACATATATTTTGTCGTTTTTGTGTCTGTTTTTTTTCCTTCTAATAAATTTCACTTTTTTTTTTTACCTTTCTGATTCATAGTATAATAGTCTGTTTTCTTTAGACTTAGGATAAAACATCCAAAACCTCTGAGGTCGACTGATTAACTTTAATTAGAAAAGGCCCAATTTGTTTTTATTTGTCTGGTTCAGTTTAAGTAAGTACCCCATTCCTATTTTATTTTTTCCTTTTTATGCATAATCCTATCCATATCAACAAACTTATTGCTTGGAGAAACTGGGTGTCTGGAAGTTCTTCATAGTTCTCCTTTATCGCAGTGTTCTTTAAGATCAACTTGTTTATATGTCAACGTTGAAAGAGACCGGTAGTTTCTGTAATCAACTCGGGTGTTGTTGTCTGATTTCAGCCTTGCACCAGCTGAAACAGGAACAAAAGCACATAACAATTCATCAGCTGGAGTGAGAGAATAGGACCGTTCATCACTTTTAAATGTGCAAGTAACTTGAACTTGTTAAAACTGACTTTTGTCATCCAATAAATAATATTTCCCTTTTCTACTCTTGTTTAGTTTTAGATTTTTAAGTACTGGATAGAATTACATAAATTTAGATGTGTATCTTGATGCTCATTTTGTTGGAATGTTATTGTATTTAATGAGCTCTGCAAGTATTTTAAGTTAACTATATTTATTGCAAATTTTGGTTTCCAAAACAAAATTTTTTCCTTGTTAGATTGATTTTGTGCAAAAAATAGAAATACAAGTTTTACTGGCTCATTTTTGTGACATCCGATAGCTGGAATTGATATATCGGGTTTTTAGGTAACTTGACTGTTAATCGTCTTAAACATTGTGCTTGTTGGACGAACAGGCAAACAATAGAAATGATTGACTGTCTTCATCGTTTTGGATCCAATATGAGTTGAGATTCCCTAAAAGCTATAATGCAATTGACATAAATTAATTGCTACTCTTTTTTCAACTCTATCAGATGGCCTTTCATCCAAGAATTTCATCTGGATTCTTTTTATTTGGAAAGAACCATGTACGGACTTTTGGAAAGAGGGTAAACTTTTCTCGACTTTTTGGCTAAGATGAAACCGAGAATATTTTAGAAAGAAAATTGACGGTATAGAAGATATCTCATTTAGGGTTGAAAAAACTTCAACTGCAACTTTATTCCTCTATTGGATTACTTATTTGCACCTGGAGCTTGAGGCAAAGGGAATAAATATAGGTCTGTAGGTCTAACTTCTCTATTAATTTATTTTGAAGTGCCCATTTTTGTGATGCAACTGACTGTGTGGTAATCTAGCTTAAATATCCAGGTCCTCTTGATCTGACTTGACCTGCCTTGTCACGATATCCATCTTTCAAAAGTGGAAAAAAACATAGATCAGCTGATTTCTTGGCCGACTGGGGTCACTTTGTTCCTATTTTAGTATTTGATAGGCCCCATTGGACCTTAATATTAGTACAGTGGTCCGGCTAAAAATTATATGTAACTAAATCCAGGCACCTTTGGTTCTCTCATATGTCGAGCTCATAATGCACTAGAATTTTTGAGCAAATGCTTTTTGTTCTCGGAGATTCTCCATATTTTACTGCTCTAGTTTCGCCAATAATTTTGCAGTTCTTTCACTACTGAGCTGACATGTTGACTGTATATGTTTCCTCCAGAACCAAGTATACCCCACCTTTAATACAAGTGTTAGCTCTCTCTAGAATGACCCACATTTTTGACTTGGGGTTATATGATGAGCTGCTGCTTCTCCTCTTTTCTGTTTTTACTTTCTTTAGCTGTTCTCTCTTTTTTTTAATTATATTAATGCAGTGGTTGTCTGCTAAAACCATAACCTACAATGTCTAATGGGTTAAAGGACATCAAGGCATCCGTCCCTACTTGTATATTTGTCAGGATGGTCTTTTGCAGCGAAGCATTCAAGCTTTTGATTTTCTTTCTGGGTGTACTTATTTTACTGGGGCAAGCCATTTTAGTCGATAAGTCATCACTTCATTAATAAAAGAAGAACGTTTAATAGGTTACTCGTTTCTTCAGGTGGATTGCAAATTATCATTTGCACGAGAGTCTCTTGCAAGAGAACGAGGACGAAAAGCTATCAAAAGAAGAGCAGGAAATGGCGTGGGAAGTGTATCGGAGATCTATTGAATGGGAAGAGAGGCGAATTTCGCCTGATGAGCCCGTAGCTGAGCGTCAGCATGTCTCTACTTCTGAATCATTGCCAAAGCAAAAGCCAGTGGTTTCCACCGCCAGCCTTTTGCCGCCAGAGGACAGTAATCTTGTATTTTCAATGGGGAGTACAAGATGCCGTTTGGTGCCAAGGAAGTGCACAAACTTATCACATTTACTTACACTTAGAAGTCAAGGAACCAAATGGGGTTGTAGCACTGTTTGTGGGGAATGTGCTCAGGAGATAAGTTGGGAGGGCCTTAACAACAGGGATGGCAGATCAGCAAAGTGATGCTGTCTATGTATTTATACTAATTATCTTCTTTTTGTTTCCAACTTTTGTTGCAATTCAATATAATTTTTAGGGGTGAATAGCATTCTGTTTCATGTTTCAGCCATAGTTGGATAAACAATTCTCTTTTTTGGATAGGGTAGAAGGAAGTGCCTTTTTGGAGATTGGCCTTTTGTAAAGTTAAAATGTTGTCATCAATTGTATTTTGACCACAGAGAGGAGAAAACAAACTGGTTGTAGCGCTTGTCGTTTTGCAAAAAAGAAAACCCCTCTTTTTCTGCTACCACTTGCAGCTTTAAACAGTTGAATGCAATTACACGATGATGCCTATTAATATCATTCTGTTCAAAATTACTGCTGGATTCTCGTTGCCTTCTTTATGTTATTTTAAGTAAATCCAGAACAGAGCATGTCTGTTTAGTTGTGCATGTTTTCTATTCTATAGAAAGGGAAACTTCTTATTCTAATTTCAGCCTTCAGTGTGCTGATTTATGCAATGGATCTTAATTGGGTTGTGGATCTTGAATTTGATTACTGTGAAAACGACATTAATCTTGCAAATATATGATTGCTGTTACAATTTACATAGAATTGGATAATCCATCAATATAGATACAATGGATACCCCTAAGCTGGGATTTTCATTAACCCCCAGTATAGCTACTACTAGCAGCTCTCTCACAATCCAATGTATGCAAGAAATGGTGGGGATTGGATCAATTCAGTAATAGGAGCACAAACACATTGCCTACCCACTACCATCTTTCATCCCCCAACCAGTTGTCCTTTTCCTTTGGTCCCGTTGGCCCTGCTTCACCATATAGTTCAGTTGGAAATAACTCAATGAGACTCTCCACTGAAAATCTCATAAAAAAAGGAAGATGTTTGATTATTTTTTCAACTTCTGATCGCCCATCGTATATGATGGTTGGACCCCATTCCCTCATATATTGCAACCATGGTGGTTCTGAAACAACTCCCTCTCCAAGGTATTCAGCAGCAATAATTTGATATTTGCTACTAGAGTCAACATGGTATTTGCTACGTGCACAATCGTTCCTCACTCCAACCCCGAGTTTAGTAGAGCCCTGAAGATAGCAGCCGGGATGTGGGAAACTCGCGTGGCCATTTCTTGATGCATATACAACTGACCTATTTCCCTCGATGAACTCCAAGTTGCAGGCGTCTAGCCATTCACCACCACTATGCTCCGAGAAATACACACTCGAGAGCTCACCAGAAAAGTTGCTGATACGGAGTGTATAATGCTCCCAATCACCAACATGCTCTCCTACTTTATTCAAAGCAAAACTCAACAACCCAATCTTAAGGGTAGCCGGTCCATTGAAAGGGCAGAATATCCACATTGCAATATCTGTGAAGGTTCCTCCTAAAGCTGGTTTAACATGAACATAGAGCTCTGCGCTCTCAATGTTCCCACATTTGACATTGGTTCGATTTGCATCATCCTTATTTGGCAAATCAAGCCAATATTCACCATCGTTTTCTCCACCAGCAGGCAAGTTTGAGCCTTTAGAGTCGATGGCTATACCACTATTCCTCCCATCTTTGTAGAGGAGAGCTCCATTAATGAAGAACCATGGGACTGAGGAGGGCAAATAAATCTCATCTGGATGAAGATAAACTGTCGGTCCATAGTGCTTGATGAGTGCATGGATCTGCTCGAGATTGGGCATTGCATGTAGGGAAGAGTCGAGATTTTTCAAGCATGCAATATTATCGAGTTCATCTCCAGAACTGAAGGTTGTACTGCAGAAGAATGTACCAACAGAAACCCCTTTACACAGCATGCCCCTCTTGCAAGGTCTTGTTTCCCAAACTTGAAATTGGTCCCTTGGGAAAATGGAATCTGAACTAAACATCATCTCACACGCCTCACATTTTGCCGTCAAGTCAGCACGGACACATCTAACTTCATCAGGATCAGGTTCATTAGGCTCAACAGAAGCCACGAATCCCATAGATTTATAACCAACTGGTGCATTTGGCATCCAAATATAACCGCTTCCATTGTATTGGGAGTCTGAGCTCCAAATCATAGTGTAGTTCAGAGGTTTTTGAAGAGCAGGAAGCTTTGAAGATGAATCTTGAACATTGACTTTTGGGTTCTGATTAACAGATGCGTCTCTGGCAGCAAGAACATAGCCAGTTAAGTGCTCACCATCTGGCTGACAGTAGTGACCAAGGCATGAAAATCCTTGTGGAATTTCATCCGGCTTATAAAAGGAGACGCAATTTGATTTCCCAACTGATGGGCTGCAACCCCAAATTTTCTTAAACTTGGTGATTTGAACAACTTCAATTTCACCTAAGCATATTCTTCCTATAGCAAAACCTTTGCCTACAAAAACAGCACCTGTCCGTTAGCAAACTGAGCATTTGTTGCAGCACTTCCGCATAAAGCTTTTTCGATTGAATTCCATTCGCTCTATCGTTCTAAGAGTTTTTTTTTTTCTATAATATTTATAATATGCATATTGGAGTGGATTTTCTTCAAAACAAATGAAGAACCAGCTGCTATTAAAAGCAAACAAGAACAAGAATTCAACCCCTATCCCCTGAGCCGGCTTAAGTAAAGAAGAACCAAAGATCAAACAAGAATCTTGAATCGAATAATGCTGATTCACAACTATAAAAGTTCATTAATACTTGTGTTTCTTATCTGCAATAGCTCTAATTTTTTGGATATGAATCAGAAAGTATTTTTGTCTAACATCATTCAGAAGGAACAAATTGTTAGAAAACAACATAGGAAAACATAATTAATGTTTCCTAAAACAAGGTCCTCAAATAAAAATGGAACAGAACCAAGAATTTAATCCAAATTTTGGAGAAAAAAAAACTAATTCTTCAGCATGCAGATTTGAACTTTCAAGCAGTCACTATTCCCATTCCAGCCAAACCTTTGACCAAGTATAAATAAAACACCATATTTTCCCCATGGTTTGACCAAGTCTTAAACAGAGAATTAGCAGGAAATGAACAAAGACTTTCCTTTGTCCAATGTGAACCTTCTTCCCAATTAGTCTGAAGAGGAAAAAAATAGAAAATTACAGCTCCATGGAGCAGAAACTTTGTTAGTTAAAAGTGATAAATTCATTTTCTTGAACCATTTGATCATAAAAGAGAATAAACACCTCCTATTAGTGACATGATGTTCTGCTTCAACTAAAATAATGAAAGAACATAAAGACCTCTACAAGAATTGGGTTAAATTAAAGTTAAAGGAACCATCTTTTTTCTTTTTCAAATAAATGATCAATCATCAAATCCACCATTTCTTGAAATGTTTTAACATACAATGCAAAGAGTTACTATTTCTGTGTGTGAAAGAGAGAGGAGAGAGAGAAAGGTCAACGGAGAGACTAGTGACAAACATACAGCTTCTCATGAAAGAGAAAACAAAATTGAGAAAAATACAAAAATCATTTGAAGCAGATATACCTTGAGGCCATTTAGGAAGGGGTGAAGGCAAAGAAAATTTGTGAGGTTCAACTGAATAATAATCATCAGAGACATTGTAATTGTCCCAACACCAACACTCCCTCCCAAACATACTTATAGCTTTTTCCTCCCTCTTCTCAATCACAACACAAAAAATGGAAAAACCCCACAATAATATATTCTCAAGAATTTACTCTCAGCTTATCAAGAAGACATAAATAAGAAAAAATTCAGCTTGGTTTGGGGTGGTAGAAAAATATGGGAGGTGGGGTTGATCAATAGAGCAGTCTTTCAGATCACATTCTCATCTTTGTATGTTCGGCAACAAAACAAGAAGATGTTTTTTTTCGGTGAAGGGGTTGAGTAAGCTGGAAAAAAAGGGAGGGAGGGGGGGGGGGGTTTGGAGTAAGAAGAGAGCAAGTGGAGGAGAAGACAGAAAATAGAGGTTAGGACTTGGGGGCTGCTGCTTTTATTTAAAGAGGAGAAAAAGAAGTTCTACTTGCCTTTGTTTGACGTTGCTTTGTACCTGAAAGGTGTTCCATATTGTGGGGGTAGGTGTTAGTATTACTCTATTTATTTACTTTTGTCAGAGCTCTCAGTTCACTTTATTTGTAGCTATCAAGAAATAATGCCAAATATAGTGTATTAGTGGGTGTTTGGACATAAGAATTGTAAAATTTTAAAACATGGTGAAATTTTTTTTCTAATTGAAAATGATATTTGAAATTTAGAGTTGTGCTTTGACATGAATATAATTTTGGGTTGTTTTTAAAGTTTTGTGAGTGATATTGAGTGAAAATTTCGAAAAATAGCTTTTTGGAGTTTTTCATATTTTTGAAAATTTTCGAAATGCATCTTCAAGTGAAAATTGGAAATTTTATGAACAAACGCTAATTTCGAAAAAAAGTAAAATTTTTTTGGAAAAAAGGAAAATATTTCTTATGTCCAAACGGGCTCTTAGTAATATTGGTATTAGTTATGCTGACATATTTCTTATCCATTATTTGGTTTGATGTATTAAAGCATTGCACAATTTGTAAAAGAATTATTTGCTTACAAAATGCCTTCATAATCAGTCCATCACTTTATTTTAAAAGAAACATATGTTGAGGAATGTTTTCGTATGAAAAAGGTTTTAAAAAAAAATATTTGATTTGTCTACCTATATTGTAGTATAGAACTGAATACTCCTTCTCCCTCCCCTTCTTCAAACTCCGATTCATATTTTTCATAGAGAAATTTCTGATCAAGGATAGAACAAGAGCCGTTTTGCATCATATCTAAGGAATTCCTCGGTTCGGGCCGAAGAAGCAATGTCACTTGATCATTATCAAACTGACTGCAATCTTTTTCTGTCCGTGAAGATCCCACCAGAGCGTCTTCTAATTCTAATAGGCCATGAACTAGATCAGAATCATTCTCAACGAGTCCATAAGAAGTGATCGTATTAGTAAAAAAGAAAATATGCTAAATATTTATTTGTTTACTAGGGATATAATTTTATTTCCTACTTTCTTGGATTATTTCAAACTTGCATTAATATCATAGTATATTTTAATCAAGCACAAATTTTGAAGGATAATTTTGTCTTTAGCTAAGCTAATGCATGTATTAAAATCCATTGCATTGTTTATGCCATGGTTTCTTATGCATTAGTTATGCATAGGATAATATCAAATAGGGTGTATAACTAATGCTTGCATAACTAATGCATATGTTCAAAAAGTATTCCAAATAAGGTATTACTAATATCCAAAGCTAATACATGCATTATTTTATCTAATGCATCCTACCAAACGACCCCTAAATATTTTTAAATGCTTTTTCGGGATTTGCTTGTCCTTGGGCAGGACACTGTCAAAATTCCACGAGGCTCAGACATGGAGTTTTTCTGAGGTTTACGCCTCAGGTGCCCGATGTACGCCTTAAACATGCCTAGCGCCCTATGCTTGGGGCTCATCTAACAAATCTTAATTAGATCATATGTTAAATTTTCTAATTAGCATTGTAGACCCTCAAAATTCTTTAACAAATAAAAGATTAAAATTCATTATAAGATTGAGAGTAACTCAAATAATAAGTTATAATATTGTATATTTACTAACTGAGAATATTATGAGGTGTAAATGTATTTTGAATATTCTTCTAAAATAGGTAGCCAAACTTTATATCTTTACTTGCAATTGGCCTTCGCCTTAGTTCTACACCTCTCACAATTATCAAACTTTTATTATTTTGTTATTAGAAAGTAAATTTGTAATTATTTTATGTAGGAGTAACTAAATTACAGAACTGGTGAAGCTTATTTATTATTAACTTTTAGGAAGGTAAAACATACAGTTTAATAATATTTATTAAGAAATTATATTTTTTTTATTAATATGAAAATTAAGACATTATAGTTGATTTGTATTACGTAGTAACATAAACATTTTGTTGTTTATGCTGGTAAAACATGCTAGATATTTTATTTTCTATGATTTTTTTTTAATCATTTGTAATTTTCTTAAACTTTTAATGAATGGTCTATGTTTTTTTTAATTTTATTATGTTATTTAATTAATTTATGAATTAAAAAATTTAACGATCCAAGGGGCTTACGTTTCATCCTGTAATAAGTAAAACACCGCTGCTCACACCCCGCCTTTTAAAATACTGCTCTTCTCTTCGGCTTATTTTGCTTGGTAGATTGAAAAAAGATGATTTTTCAAAAATCCTTTAATATAAGTTACCTGGCTTAAATATGTTATAAGAAAAATCATTTCCTTAATTGCAAATGTTTTTCATGTTTGTGTAGTTTGCTCCTTCCAGATATGTTTGATACTGGACTTGTTGGATTCCTATAAATAATCTCTTCTCCTTATATCAAATTTTTCATAAGCTCGGCCAAATAAACTAATACTAGTCGATGATCAAGTTGCTTAATTTTGGATTGATTGGAGACCATGATCTTTTTTTTTTTTTTTTTTTTTTTTTTTTTTTTTTTTTTTGTTGTTGTTGTTGTGGTTAAATACGGAAGTATTTAGACAATACTTGACTTGAAGTTGAAAAAAATATTTAAAGTTGAGGTAAAAATTGTGTTTGGGTATCCACTTGAAAAAAAAAGTCTAACATTAAAAAATATTTGTGGTGAAACGAAAATTTCACTTGAAAATACACTTCCTAACTATTATTCCTAGCTATTATTCAACGTTTCAGATTCTTGTATTTCAAGAATTAATTAATTAATTAAGGTGGTCATCCTTGAGATGATAACTATTGCTTGCAATGATGGATAACTACTATGAATTAATTAATAATGTAAACTAAGATCTTTAGACTTCAAGAAATTTTCATAATGATCAATTATGAAAATTTGACAAGAAGTTACTTTTTTTTTTTTTTTATTATTATTATTATTATTATTATTATTATTATTATTATTATTATTATTATTATTATTACTTGAACACTTAGATATCTCGAATTTGTGACTTGAAAATGTAACTTCTAAGATTAATACTTGTGGTATGAGTTAGAATTTATAATGAGTTATTATCATAGTTAATTCCAAATTGGTCTTGTGATTGACAAAATTGGATGGATAATGCAATGGAATTATGCAAGTTTTCAATATATTATGGACTATACATGATATGTATATGAATTTTGGACGAATTTGATTATTAATATTGTTGGACGAGTTTATAAATTAGTGATCATTATTTATGAACTTTGTCTCTTTCGATTGTTGGAGAATTGAGTCAATAGTAAAAAAAATTCATACCTGAGCTTTTATAAATCATACTCATGTGATAGCCTACTCTATAGTTTAATAATTTGACATGAAAATTGCATGTTTCTAAATAGAGATTGCATAGAAATGATTTACCAAATAAATGATCATTTAGATGGATATATCAAATATGTTTTTGAACTCTCCGTGGTGTGCCAAGTTATTCCTATAAACGATATATCAAATATTTGACTTGTATATTTTATTACTTCAAATTGATATACTTAAAACTTAATACCGAATCTTTAAAACAGAAATTTAAAATTTTTTGTCCAATCACTTGATTCATTAAGATGATAAAAGTGTATACGGGTAAAACCGAGCTCATGGTACGCCTCGGTTTCCGATAAAATAAACGGAGCAAGAAACAAGAAGGCAAGGAGCCGGAATCGAGGCAAGAAACTCCTCGATCCGGAGTACGGGTGAAATGACTGCCTTCGGGAATATCGAAGCCATGAACCCCAGGTCCGGTTCGAACTTCAAAGGCTTCGGAGAACACTACCAGACAATCGAACACGACCAACAGAAGGCCGTGATATCCGCGACCGGTTGGATATCACGGCATAAATCTCGGCACGTGTCGATAGACACATTAGACACATTGTAACACACATACCAATGCAATATACTATTATTTCTCTATTATTGAAAGCTCTTATGCTTGTTCATCAGTGCCGACCATCGTGAATCCGAATCAAGGGCAGATATTTCATTAAGACTGGAATCATCCTCCTCAAGTGGTTTGATAAGTTAATATATCTTTATTTGTTTAATCTAATGCAATTTGCTGTTTGTATTGAATAAATCCATATATCCTTAAAACCACTTACAAATTTAATTGTTATCCGTTTTTTAGGGTAAACAGTTTGGCGCCTACCGTGAGGCTAAGGATAATAGTCGCTATTTGATACAAATTTTCACAATATACTCCGCTTTACTCTTGCTCTTTGAGATCTTAATTTCAGGAAAACTTAAAGATGTCAAACCTCAGTCTGCTCACCTAAACGTTGATGCTGAATCTGGCCACTACGGCGAGAACAACAATATAGTGCCCGGCAACGAGGTTCACCCTACTGACCTGTTGATACCCAATTTTTTTTATATATTTTAATATGCAAAGTACCTTCAAAATGGCATATGTATGCATATATAAGTATATCCAAGTGTTCCATTATTTTTCCTTAATTTTAGAGACTTTTAAATCAATTTATTCCCCTATTTTATCCATAAAAATCCAATAATCATTTCTAAAATTATCAGTTTTGGTGGTTCACTTGTTGAACTTTTATGTTTATGCTAAGGGAATTTTTTGCATGTTTTTACAAAATTATTTAGTATATTTTTAAGGCTAAAATTGTATAATTGCAACATTAGCCTCTTTTAGGATTAATTACGTTTATATTCATAAAGATTAAGTCCTGTATTTTTAAATGGCTAATTATATGTCATAAATCATTTTAGTACCTTCAATTTATTTTCACAAATTAATTTATTATTTTTTTATATAAATTAAATAGGAAAAATTGGCTATTTAAATAATGGCCCAATTTCATTTCAATTATAATCCAACTCTGACCCCATTTGAACCCCGACCCAATTGCAAATTAAACCGGCCCAAACCCAATTTCATAAACCGACCCACCTACCCCTTCTAACCTAGGCCGTTGATCATTCAGATCAACGGCCACTATTACACCTTGTCTTAATTAATCCCGA